TTAGTGCAGGATTGGCTGTACACTTACGTCTTCAACGACGTCCGAGCCCTCCTGGCCAGTCGGTTGGGCTTGCGCAGCCCCGGGGTCTGGAAGCCGGTGTGCACCGGATGCGTCTTCCTGCTCTCCGCCCTTTGGCACGAGTACATCCTGGCTGTGGCGCTCGGTTTCGTCTATCCCGTGATGCTGGTGTTTTTCGGCTTTTTCGGTTTCCTGCTCTACTTTGTACCGACCAACGCCAACCTGGGCAATGTACACTTGTTGACATCGTTTTTTTTGGGCAACGCTTTGCTGTTGTCGCTTTACACCATGGAGTGGTATGCTCGTCGGAACTGCCCTCGAGTTCGGTTCGACTGGACTGATTATGTGGTGCCACGAAGCTGGGGTTGTCTGCCACCGACACTCTCAAACGAGGCGAGCGTCTTGTTGGGCAGATGAGGGCCAAAGTTTGTCACAAGACTGGGAATTCAGACATGGATTTATATATTTAGATGAGATACGATGTCAACATAATGGCCTTAATGTAGTGCACAATCGAACTTGTCAAATGAGGCTAACTTTCACAATTCATGCCAAGCCAACGGTTATCTCAACAGTCCTTCTAGCATGTTGTACCAATAATTTTCTCTACTTTGGATAAATATGATTTTTGAGTACGAAACGACTCTTTGTTGATAAAATTTTTTCACTAAGACCTTTATTCACCGACAAGGTAATGAAGGGGCGACTGTTTAATTTCCACACAATAATATAAGCAGGCCTCACGTTTTCATTGAATTTCACATAGCCATGCTTCCCAGAAAGTTATTCTTATCCAGACTGTAGTGAGCTGCAGTTTCGACGTCGCCTAGGTCACATCAACACCCCCAGCGGGACTCAAACCCAGCTAGTGTAGTGTTTTATCTTGACTCGACAACCACTAGGCCTCACTGCCACGAATGCCTTTGGGTCACATGTCAGACGCGAATATTAAGGAGGTCCAGACCTTTGCCATATCGAATTTCTGTAGTGGAATTGTCGATAAGCACATTTTAGTTTGCTAGTACAATTGGCCACGTTACTTATTTTCGTAATGAGTAGGTTTTGAAACTACCAATAGATCTTAAATAAAGCCTAGGAATGAGACTTAGGCGAAATTGAAATTTTAGTCAACTTCGAGAAGTAAGACTGTAAACTTCAATGGGAACGTACGGCCTACTTATATCACCGTGGAAAAATTCTACTGCCTAGGGTAAATAAAAATTCCATTTAGGCTGTATTATACTTTCGAAACCTATTCAATACGCGCATACTTAAAATAGTCTAATACAATAGCTTCATCAACAATTTCACTAAGAAAATTTGATAAAAGATATTCCTGACTTGTATTAACATTTATATCTGCTATATGACCCAATTGCATCCTTGGCTGTGTGGCTGAAAACTATTCAAAATCCCAATAGGAATGCTGATGGGAGGATGAAAATAAGTTGTAACCATCACCCACCATCTCTTCTTACATTACTTTAAGTGACTTAGGGCGACGCAAGTTATTATTTACGAACATTTTCCACTGGCTTTTTCAAAGGAAAT